CTTTCCCCCCGCTGTGATTGATAAAATAAATCGAGCAAATTTAAAGTAGTTTACTCACCAATAAGAAGTAAAAAAGATATGCTTCTTCTGTGTTACAAAGAAAGATACAGAGGGTCAGTTTTTTACCATCATCTTCCAAACTCCTATCAACCTAATCATCTTGTTACATTTTTTTTCTTTGACCTCTGACGCAAGTACTATTAGAATATCTTCGGGTTGCTATCACAATACTGGTTATGTAACAAGGCAAAATTTTATTACCATATTATTTTTAACAATTATTCATTTAATAATAATAATAATAATAATAATATATTTCATTTACGTAGCGTTTAATCCCTCAAGAGTATAAGCTCTGAGCTCATTTACGTGTGGTTGTGAGTTTGTTTGTGAGTGCTGGCATAATGTTTTATTTATGTCCTTAGGTGAGTGTGAAAGAGAGGATGTGTAAGAGAGAATGATGTGTGTAGATGTGTGAGAGAGAATGATGAGTGTAGATGTGTGAGGGAGAATGATGTGTGTAGATATATGAGAGAGAATGACGTGTGTAGATATGTGTGAGAGAATGATGTGTGTAGATATGTGAGGGAGAATGATGTGTGTAGATGTGTGAGGGAGAATAATGTGTGTAGATGTGTAAGAGAGAATGATGTGTGTAGATGTGTTAGAGAGAATGATGTGCGTAGATGTGTGAGAGAAAATGATGTGTGTAGATGTGCGCGATCAGACTTGTCATTGGCGAGTGCTCTGGTGTGTAGATGTGTGAGGGAGAATGATGTGTGTAGATGTGTTAGAGAGAACGATGTGTGTAGATGTGTGAGAGAGAATGATGTGTGTAGATGTGCGCGATCAGACGTGTCATTGGCGAGTGCTCTGGTGTGTTTGCTTATTCTTTTCCTATCAATCATCTATCGTCTTTATCTCCCCTCCGTCCTTTTTGTGTTAGTCACTCTCTTGTAACACCTCTAATCTTCGACACTTAAATGACATTATTGTGCTGCAAGTGCCGTAAAACTCTTACTAAAACTTAAAAGACTTGGCATTGAGGTGAGAAAGATCTTTGGTTTTGTAGCAATGTAACGCATACTTACGCTC